AGAAGGCATGGCATCAAGTTTTATTTTATGCTTTTCATCTCTTATGGCATCACGTTTAGTTATAAATATCTGTGCCATTATAGATTATTGTTATTTTGTTGTTTCTGCTTTTGTTACTGGGTGATGTAGTACAGTGAGGCTTTAAAAAAGACATACAGTATGTTGTAAAACTTTACTTTTCATTTGTAAGACATTTTTTGACTTTTAAGATGTTCGTTTAAAAATAGGAGCTCTTCAAAAAAAAATGTCTATACCTAAACCAACAAATGTTTATCCAAATTAATCAGCTAACCTTCACTGTATTTACATTTTCCATCTTTTCATCTCATATAACTTTGTAATTTGTAGCTATGATTGTAATATCGAACTAGTTTGTGACTTGTTATACTGTTTCTTGAAGGCATAGACTTTACATGACATTAAACATTTCTTAAATGATGATGACGACGCTACTCATCTCCTTACTATTCAGTTACACACATATACACGCAAAGTCAAATGAAAGTCTTTACACAAATATTCTTGGACAACTTTTCTCTTAAACTTAATAAAAAACTTTTCCATTAAGTTGTTGTAAAGAAATTTTCACGACATGAAAAATGTTTTCCTGCTAGATGAGAAGAAAATTTCTCTTTCCAATTTGAGTAGAGGGATTTAGGAAATGAACGAATAAGATTTGATGCAGAAATAAAAGTTGAAACTTTTACAAGAAGTTGTTAATGATTAATCGAAAGTGTCAAGAATGGTTTTTGGTGAAAATGAAGAGGATTTTAAATTGTTCATTAAGTTTTTTGGATTAAGGTAATCTAAGAGATTAAGAATGACTTAAGAAGAATCAATAATTAATTATTCAGTGTTATGGGAAGTATTTTCAAATGTATAGCACATAAGGTAGATTCTTGTTTTGTAAAATTGTCTTAGACCAAAAAATGTTATTTATAAACAGAATCATACAAAAATATCAAAATCTGATAGAATTTATATCTTCCAAAGAATTTAAATGATTCTCATTTATAAATTTAATTTAATTTCTCATTCCATTAACTACAAATCTCCTGCTCATAATTTTCTACAATTTATTATTAGAAAACGTTTCCTTCCCTTTCAGTTTTTATCTTTCAATTTTCTTCTTTTTTTCTTAACAAAAAATCTCGTTATTCGCACAATTTCAAATTTGGATTTCGAAATAACCAAATAACTTTAGTAACAATACTTTGCATAAATTGTATTAATAAAATGTGTATACAGCAACAATTTTGAATTGTAAATTTTTACTCCTTTGAATGGAAAAGAATCAGAAGCGTCGGAAAAAAGTTTCAAGTCTTCGTTTCACTTTTTTTTTTATTTTACGAACCACCTCCTCCACCTGACACTCAAAAACTTTCTTCAACCTCTTCCTCAACTCATACTTCTTTAAAAAGAGTTTTTTCTTCAAACTCACACAAATAGCAACAATAACAGCAATAGAAGCTATCAGACTCGGTCGACAATCTTTTTCATGCTGCTATAAACTTTTAAAGCAGCAATTTAACGATCACATCGGAGCAAAAATGAAAACTTTTCTTATTAACTAGCGAAATTTAATACATTTTTTTTTCTTCTTCAACGAGCGATTTCGCTTTTAATTTTATGAGCACATTTTTCTCCTTCCATGAACTATTTTCTTCTCTTTTCAACCCATTTACTTGGGTCTATCTCTCACGTAACACTGTGCGGTTTCATAAGAAGATTTTTTAATTTGTGAAGATTTTTAATGATTATTGTCTCGAAAATTTATTCAAATGAGTTTGAAAATGGTTACAGAGTGATATTTAGTTGATGCGATGATGATGATGAGCATTTCAAGTTGTAGCTTGCCTACTTAAGCAGTATGAAAAATTACTGAATTCTGTTTTCTGATCCTCATATTGTTTTTTTTTTTTGGACAAGATTATAACAGAAATGGTCTGTTATTAACTTTCGCATCCTTAGCCTGATTGTACTTAACCTATCACCCTTTATATAAATTATCTAGATTTTTTTTAAATCTTCGTTTTCCCAATCATATTTCTGTATTATTCTAGATCATCAACGTTGTATTTGTGTAGCTTTATTAAGACTTCAAAGTAAGAGTTTAGAATCCCTAATATCTGCCAATATCTTATTTTTCATAAACTAATCGAACATCCAAAAACTCGCAAATAATATCAAATTCAACGTTGATCCCTCATCAAGAAGCATATATTAAAAAAATCTAAGAAAAAGAAGATCAAATTGAATTCACGAGAAAGAAAAATAAAATCATAATAAAATTTGATTTGAAACACTTTCGATTTCTTTGAAACAAAATAAGAAAAAAAAAATTATAACAAGGCGAAGATGAAAGAAGAAAATAAAAAGAAGCAAAAATATTAAAGAAATGAAATTTATAAATTTTAAAATTTTCTGCCTTCTGCTTTAGTCGTTCTTTTTGTTTAGGAATATTGTGTTTCTCAATGCCTTTTTTGAGTGTCAGATTTTTAATGAATTCTTAATAATAAATTTTGAAGATTTAATTAGCTGAAATTGTTTCAAATGATTCTAACGGGATAAGAATATTGTGGTTGTTTGTGATTAAAATGTTGCATTCCTAATATTGGCATGAATTTTGTCTGAAGAGCCTCACTCCCTCAAATTTCTTTCTTTTACATAAAAAATAAGAATGTAATTATTTGATGACAAAAGATGACATAGAACAATAAAGATACAGAAAGGGTGAAAAAGGTAGACAAAATGAAATATTTTCACTGTCTTTTCTTGAACATGAATTAAAATTTTTCATCATCAACACAAAAGACAGAAATAACACAGCTACAGAAAATCTCAGCAAGAATGCGGTGCTATGCTGAATTAAGAAATATTTTGTGTTTCCATATTAAATTCGTGTGTATGAAATTAAATTTTTTCTGCTAATTTTGAAGACTTCGCGCTTTGTTTCCTGAATTGCTTTGCGATAAGAAAATCTTTTGTTGCCTTAATGAAAACAAACGACAGCTAGAGAAGAAGAGGAAAAAAAACACGAGCAAAATAAACAAACAATTAAGGAAAAAGTAAAAGAGAATTTATTCAAAAATTTCAGCATATAGACTGGAAAAATGTCGAAAACAAGGAGTTTTTGAGTTATCTACCCCCTGAAAAAAAACTGAAAATCACGAGGCAAATTTTAATACACAAAAAGAATTATTGAGATGGAGTTGGTGTTGAATGAAGGTGAAAAATATATTCATTTAATTGTGATATCATAAGATTTTATGTTCATTGCTGATTCCAAAAATTGGAGTGGATGGAGTAAAATTCTCAAAATTTATTATACGATGAAGATCGTCATCGTAATCACCGTATAAAGTTTATGCAAGAAAATAATAGTAATAATAAGAGCAAGTAAACATTAAGAAAGAGGAGATTGTTATTATTTTCATTCAGAAAGTGAAGGCAGCACGGATTGTTGTATGGAAAATGATTATAATATAGAAATATGCATAGTATTTAAATAATTTAATGAAAATATATACACAATAACACCGTTTGCCTGCCTGCCTGCCTTCGTCTGTGAAAAAAAAACAGGAGAATAAGAAAATTTATGAAAATTACGACAGCAACGATGATGATGATATGCAAAAGTGAACCACTTGTCGCAAAAAATTTTTCTCATTTTAAAAATTTAATGAGTACAAGCGATGATAGGAAGGGTAAACAGGAATTTAAAAGGGTTTAGAAGAAGGTGATGCCCGCAAGCTTAAAAATCTTTTCGTTATATTTCTTGATAAAGTTTTATAAGCAATGAACCATTCCATTGCTAAAGTAAGTGTTTATTGTCATCATTATCATTATCTGCATATTCTTTTTGTGTCTTAAGAATTGACTCCAGTATTTAGGAGTTAGATATTTTCTGCATGACCAATTTCCATAATTTTCTATTTTTAATTCCGTTATATTCCCTCCTTCCACGTGCTTAGTCATCTTCTCTTCTAAAATGCCACTTTTCTTGGGGCAATAAAGACAAAGAGGCAAACGACTTTTAGATGAATCTTACTCTTAGTCTTGTAACACGAAAATGGAAAGAAGAAGAGTTAAATGAGGTGCAAATTGACTTTTTAGAATGCAAAGTTTCTCTTTCTATTATTGTCGATGAATGGGATGTGCAAAAAATTGTTTTTATTAAGTTTTAAGAGCATATTGCTAAGACTCAAGAAAATAATGTGAGAACAATAATCTTAAACATGAGAAATTACGAAATCATGCAGTTTCGAAAAAGATTTAAGTCTAAAAAAATAGATTTTAATAATTTTCAATGTCAGAGAAAAGGATTAGTTTTTCTACATTAAATACCAAGAAAAAGAGAAAGTCTTTAGTGTCATAAAATGGTTTGACATGAAAATGGAAATGTGGAAGAAAAACTTTGCACTCAAGGATACAAAAGAAGTGAATAAACCCTTCTCTAAAATATCCTTGAACCATACTTTTGTGACATTTTACGAACATGAATAAGACGAGCATAATATACAGAGAATTACAGTCATTTCATTTATCTTGGTATTTTATTATTTTTGTGCAGAATCTCAAAAATGATTTTGACATTTTCCCTTACTACTTAATTAAGCATTGTACTGTTTAAGTAGAAAGACTACAATGATAATAGTAGTAAAAATAATAATTTAGAACTAGAAGATTATGAAACTTCTTGAATGGAAGGCTCTTTTTTTCTCTCTATTTTATCCTTCATAGACCTATCAAGCGCATCTGCTTCTTTTTGGTGTGGAGAAAATGTGGGAAGAAAAAAATTCGTACAATATTTTTGCTTAATTTTGAATGTCAACATTTTATGCTGCAAAAATTGATATGCTTGTATATGTTGATGTTTTAGGTAGATTTTAATGAAGGGTAAAGGAAGAGCCTTAAATATCAGCTAAATGCTATCATTATTATTTTTAAAACTCTTTAATTCATTAAATTCAATCAAAAACTTTTATTTTTCATTGCAGATAACTCAATTTTGGGATGAGGATATCTGAATTTCATCGATTTTTATTTCAAAGGTATGTATCAATCAGGTTTTATGTAAAATCATATATTATGAGAAGAACAATGCAATAATTTTTATGGTCGCATTTAAACGCGAGTCTAATAAATCCACAAGAGGATATATGCAACAATTGCCCTAACAAAAAAATGTATGAACCACAGAAGTGAGAGAAATCTAATTGAAAAAAGTGGTTTTAACAGCATATCAAAGAAACAATTGAATTTAACCAATATTTAAAGAATTCTTATTGCTGGTTTTTGTCTTTCTTAAAAAATATTAATGAGCCATAAAGCTCAAATTTACAATGGATCGGCTTCTTTTTCCTCACACTTTACAATGGCTTGGTTTTTTTTTTGAAGAAAATATTTAACGAGAATTTCAATGGAACACGCTTAAGATGCTTTCAAAACCAAAAGTGCTGATTGTATTTTTCAAAAGAAAGCTATTTTAAATTTCTAAATAATTTTTAAGAATATTTATTATACAGTTGCGCATGCAATGCACCGAATTAAATCAAAGCTTAATCCGATAACTGCATCCTCAATTTTCTAATTCATTAATTTCTTTAAAAAAATCTACTCAAGTAAAAATCCTTAAATATTCAAAACGAAAATCAACGTGAATTTGTCATTCATCATCATCGATGTATTGAAAAAGACGCAAATAACGTGAAGCGATGAATTTGTTGCTAAAAATATTTTCACTATTTGTATTTGCACACTGCGTACATTTTTGCTGATTGCATTTTATTTACACAAAAAAAAAACATTCAGCATTTCATGTGAGCCGCTCTTTAAAGTCAAACAAAAAGTTTTCGTGATTTCATGCAACATGAAAATTGAAGAGCTGTAAAGGCGGAGATGAGAAAATATTAATCATTAAAAAAGTTTTAAATTTCATTGTAATAAAACTTTTTTAATGTTCTTAATTGATCAATGACGTCATTGATTATTATGTAATAAATTAAAATTTTTGTTAAAAGTGTCATATTTCCTTATGTAAAGTGCGAGACATGCGCTGACTCATTTCATCCTAAAATATAATTTCTATTCTACGTAAACAATTTCTTTAATGTACATAAACACAATAAACTATAAATCTCATGATATAAATGTCTCATTTGAATAATGTACGACAACAACAGAATTTCTGAATATTTTTCTCTTTCCAATGCAGCCTTTACATGGCTTTGTTATTCTCTTCTCTTTAAAATTTATTGCGAGTTGACTTGAAGGAGATATTTATGAAAATTATTTTATTATGAAATTTTGTAATAATTCCAGGAGCTATAAATAGAGTTATCAAAACCATGTGTGTGATGTGAAATGTTTGCGCATATTGAATGAAGTTGCGTGCATGTGTTCATGAATGTGGGAGAAATGTACCACAAAATGTGAATTTCAATTGATATGCAGTTATTGAGTGCTATTTATTCTTTTATTTTTTGTCTGAGGAAATGAAGGTATAAAAACGTTGTGTGATATTTTTAAAACTTCCAAGGGTTGGAATTATTCTTTTCAAACATAGAATAGCTTAAATATTGGTGACTGAATAACATGTTGATTCTTTGTATTTATCCATCAAAATTAGTCCAGAGTTTGACTCATATCAACCAATAGAATTTTATTCAAGAACAACCATCCCTTGGCAATTTTTATCAACAATTTTATGCTCAACTTTTTCGCCTTTCAATTCTTTTTTCTTATGATTTCTCATAAATATCAAAAAAGAAAAAGAAAGATAAACATATGTTTCGAATGTATATATTTTTGCATTTGATTTTCTCACTCCATAACATTTAAACTTCTGAATTGCTTGATGTCGATGAAACATTCAACAAAAAATATAAATTTGTGATATTAGGTTTTCATCCCCTCTTTTTCTGACTATGAATTGATGGCTGTTATCTGATATGAGGCAAATCAGCTTCATATATTTTTGGCATTTAACACATACATTATTAAGCTATATGTGTTATGAACCTGATATGCCAACACTTGTTTCAAAAGAATTGCTAGAAAAATATTTGCAAATTTTTATATTTCCATGTCAAATTTAAGTCTTTAATGCCACAACCCTTTTATATTTCCTTTCGCACTTCCCCACACTCTCAAAGATAATGTTTGAACATAAATATGAAAATTATTTTAGAATATAAAAGTTTTCCTCTCTTTTTATATTGATCCATATTGGAAAATGGATTTTTTGTGTGTTGAAAAAAGTTTTTATGTCTTTTCATGCAAGAATTGCTATTCTGTAGAAAAATTGCCATTGTTGGTTTCATGTTCCTTCAATTTTTCAACCCTAAAAAAACTTTTCCTTTTACAATGTCTTCTTTTTCTTCATTTAAAATATTTTGTAGTCATCTATCTAGTTTTGGCTTTTCATTTTATAAAAGTGTGGATCTGTAAATTGCTCTTGAGAATAAAAAAATTGTTAAAAATGTACGACTGCAGACGTTCGAATTATGAATTAAATTTTTTTTTTATGGCAACATGTAAAATTTTAAATGAAATTATTGATGTCCCTTGAGAAACTCCATGACTGTCATATGCTGGATTTGCAATTTGCAATGAAAAACATAAAAGATTAAATAATCGGAAAATGTTAATAATTATGGCTTATTCCATTGAAAAATGAAAACAACATTAAAATGTATAGAAAATTTCTGTACCCAAAGAATTCAACAAATTTAAAAAAATGGATCTACAATATCGAAAAATTTAACCACACTATTCATAAATTATTTACAACCACCATCCACAGATAAAATGATACTTACCTATCCATTATAAATTCATATCCAAAAACAAAAATGAAAATTCATAGCCAAAAATTTTCCTCATATTTTCATTCCTAAAGTAATACTTTATTGTGTGTACCGGTGCCATTCCACAAACACACCATATATACTCTCATCATCATCATATTCCATACATTATATTGCATGTGGAGCATATTTACATAATTAATTTTCTGTTTTATGAGTTTAGGGACTAAAAACATTTTCATATACAAAATGAGCTATATAGCTAAGGCATGCAACTTTAAAGACTTTCTACATAAATACATACACACTCAAAATTTATATTGCGCCTTTTAAAGTTCATGATGCCTCGCCTTTATAAACAGTAAAATTGTAATTCTTTTAAAAAATTTACCCATAGTCACAGCCAGAAATAAAAGAAGCTTCGAAGAATGAGTGAAAATATTAAAATATTGTTAATAAATTTATTGATGGAAGTTATGGCATGAAGAAGTGAACATAAAATATAAAATAAAGAAAATTTTGTAAAAACTTGTCATTGATGCTACTTCTCATTTTAATAGAAAGAAAAAGACAAGAACTGTTCAACGAAAGTGTAATTTCTCAACTTCTAATTAACGAAGGAAGTATGAAGTTCCACTTATTTAAATCATATTTGTTTCTGATTTAATCAAAAAAATTATCAATTTCATGTTTTAAATTCTTTGCTTTATTTGTGTAATTTTCATCAAGAGATGTATAAGCAGCATAAAATAGTTCCTCCTCTTTCTCTTTAAACTCTTAATTTCATCAATTTATAATTCAACAATCAAATTTTCCATTCGACTGATCAAAACTGTTTCCATGTTATAATTTTATCATATTTTTCGCATTATTTCTTGTCCATTCTTAAGTATAATCTGTACAAGTCATTCATACATATTCGCATCCGATTTACTGTTTTCAAATGACGCCAACATCATCATCATCATTTTTATTTACCTCAGCATCATCGTCATAATCGTCATTATAGACATTTGTTTTTGAAAAATATTGAATGGAATTACGTCAATGGTTATGGAGAGGCTACTTCCACTGTGCATTCAATGATAACGATGGAGTTTTAATCCTCGTACAATTTTAGTCTCTAATTTTTCATGGTCATAAAATTCCTTTTGATTCTGCTACTTATATCCTTTATATGTGTGTTCATCTACAGCACATGTTGTAGAGAAGAAGGAAAATGACAAACGTGATGGCTAGTAAAAGTTTAAAAAAGCTGCATGTACACGAACAAAAGGCACAAAAAGAGAGTAAAATACAGTTTTTGTACGTGCTTGACTCTCCCATACTCGCCACATATATTTATATATAATTTCATTTTTGTTCTTGAACACAGAGAGCTCAATTTCTATGCAGATTAGTACATGTAGATAGTGGGATGAAAATTATCTGGCCTTTTATTAGCTCTGACGCTGTCTTCTTTCCTCTTTTTTTTCTCAATACTGTTATATTTTCTGTTGTTTTTGTTTCATTTAATTTTTTATGTATGTTGCAGCACAATAGGATGAAAATTCTTATTATTAAGTGACTATCTCTTTTGTTTTGGGGCTTTGCAAATTTATGTCCCGAGAAGCACACGCGAATTTGGATATAAGAAATGTAATTTGTTCATGAAATTTCGAGTCAGTTCTTTATTTTCAACTTTATTCGTATTGCATTTGCCGAAATGAAAATTTACTGAAACTTTTAAGGCATGAATTTGTCGGTCTTATGCATTCATCCATACATAAATGAAAATATTACAAATTTAAATAATTACTTTATGCTCAAATTTTCATAAATGTATATTGTGCTGCAAAAAGTCCAACTTCACAAAATGTTTAAACCACTATAAAATATAAAGTGTATAGCACATGAGAAAATCTAATCGAAATTTATTACTATGCGTCTTTTCATTCTATTAATACATTAGGCAGAAATTAGAAAACTTTTGAGATGAAAGCAGAAATTTTTTTGCAGATTTATTGATGGTAATATTTAATATCCAATTAGTAAAGTGTCGTGTGATCTGTAACATAAATTTATGAAACATTTGTTTTTTAAAGAATTTTTTGTCAGAACAGAGTATAAAGTACAGCTCTTTCGATTAGTTAAACATCACCGCACATTAAATATGTTTCCTTTCATTTCCACAATATTGTTTGTATCTATTAATTATCTAAATTCAGTTTGGCACTCCATTAATTGATTACACATTCGGCCCC